TGAGATTATTGAAGGTTTGAAAGCATGGAAAGTGTATTTATTTTGATTTTTGCTATTGTAAGCTAGCTTCATTGTCAGCCATTTGTAAGCTGTGCTATTGTCAGCTAACTTCACGAGGGTGAAAGATGATCACATTGCCTGTTTGCCTTATGCTTGACCGCGCTGCACCACGGTTAAAATTCACTGGTACCGTCATGCAATGCGCCAAATAGAAAATTTTGATATCGACCCACAAAACAAAATTAGGATCTGCTGCCTTGCTCGCTCGCTTCAGGCTCGCTCGCTGCGGCAGCAACAAATGACGTCATCTTATAAAAAAATATATACCTATACACAGCAACACTTGAACGTGATATTTACATAATTGAATTAAATCCCAATGCATGTGTCTCGACCTCTATGCCCTAGTAACATGATATTACTCGCTTCTGGCAGTAGAAAACTATATATTTTAGATGAAACAACAAGAAAAATGCATGCGTTTCATGCGTATATTTTAGGATGTGACAAGTTCGAATACCGTATTTACTCGATTGAGCGCCGCCCCCGATTGAGCGCCGCCCCCGAATAAGCGCCGCATTTGAGATCAAATTTTTTTAAAGAGCGCCGCTCCCGAATGAGCGCCGCCCCCGAATGAGCGCCGCACTAAACAGTGTAATAATTTTCCGCCGTCAATTTGGGGGCATTTAGTAACAAAGACATTCAAAACTTGTTTATTTTATTGTTAAAAGTTCTTCATATAATTCACAAATAAAATATTTTTTAATTTTAGATGAAACAACAAGAAAAATGCATGCGTTTCATGCGTATATTTTAGGATGTGACAAGTTCGAATACCGTATTTACTCGTTTAGAGCGCCGCCCCCGATTGAGCGCCGCCCCCGAATAAGCGCCGCATTTGAGATCAAATTTTTTTAAAGAGCGCCGCTCCCGCGCTCAAACGAGTAAATACGGTAGGCATTATTTTGCTCGCTTTTCATGCAAACGAATATATATATTGCTCGAAAAACAAGAAGTAACGTGTATATCCGTCTTTCAGACTACTGGAGTGGAAGAAAATTAAAAAAGATTGAGTTATAATGCACAATTAAATTCAGTGTGCTTCAGACAATCTTGGACAAAACCCTTGAGACCATTTCAGCTAATATTACAAAGTTATTGAACATTGACAAAACAAACTTTGTCCCCCCCCCCTCCCCCCCCCCCCAGTTCAATCTTGTGAACAACGCCGAAACAACTTTTGGTAATATACCATGATACAAGCTCAACATTGAGTTGGGGGAGCGGGGGTTTAAGAATGGCAACATGAGTTTATCATAAAAATACGCGAATTTTCTATAGGGGGAAAATAGTCTCAACCAGTTATGTCCAAGATTGTAGATTCAATAAATAAACCTGAAATTTTGGAATTACATGTATTTCAGTGATCTAAAACAGTGTGTAAAATTTCTTGTTGCAATTCGATTTCTATCATGGGGTCAATTTCACGGATGTGTTGTTGGGGTCTTATATATACACCCTATTACAGCGAAATTGACCCTAATATGCATAAGCACAGCTAGATTCAATAAATAAACCTGAAATTTTGGAATTACATGTATTTCAGTGATCTAAAACAGTGTGTAAAATTTCTTGCTGCAATTCGATTTCTATCATGGGGTCAATTTCACGGATGTGGTGTTGGAGTCTTGGATACAGCGGAAGTGACTCCCCTGACATGGTAATAATCTTCCGTGACTGACAAAAAAATACAAGAAACAAGATTTTTATAGTTTTTCTGTTTTAGTGTTTTTTGCTTCCTTACACGAGTGCTGTGATGCAAAATGCCCGCATATATTATTTCTACTACTTTTCGGGTGACGTCCGTGGTAACAGAAACGTTGCTTGCTGAGCTCACTATTAAGTACTGCAGCTGATCTCTATGGACATTTACAATGGCGAGCGCGAGCCATTGCATAAAGATCAGCTGCAAATATTTTAACGTACTGCCCGTGGAGACAATCTCACGTTTCATTAGCATGCTATTAAAACTTAACTTAGTATTGTTAACTTTCATAAACATCCATGCTTCTCAATTAGTACTGTTAACTTTCATAAACATCCCTCTAACAGGACTTTCTGATCTTTAATGCGGTTAGCAAGTGTTCCCTTTTTTCCTAAATACCGCATCGTGATTTGTTTGTGGCCTTATTAATTATTCATGAATTTCACAATTAGTTAAATTTTTCATACAATTTACACCATTTAGCCACATATCAGTGAACGTCATATATACATCATCAGACACAACCTCGTACCCAGGGTCTTTCCTCTTGGCAAGGGGAGAAAAGATAGGAATTGGTCACGTGATCTGCTAAAATCTAGCAGATTTTTAATTAGCAATCCAAGATGAGGTCAAGAAATATTTGATATTTGGATGATTTTTATAGTTTAATTTATAATTTGCATTTTGTATGTCGTAAAAAGCTACATTTTGGAAGATCACGTGACCAGCGTCTACCAACAAGGTAATTGGGTAGGCATCTGTGGACGCCCTCGGCAATTTCAAACAAAAACAAGCCGAGTGACCTTTTGGCCATCCAAACATTTTGTGGAACAATGCAGATAAAAAAATTCCCAATTTTGAAGTTTCATAACCGTAATGACTCGTGTCCACTGCTGTAAAATTCTTCTATTGACAATTCAACAATAAACCTTTTGTTACAAATTGCAATATCACTAAAATTTGCCTAGTATATAACATTAATTAATCTAGTAATACAACATTGAACTTCCCTGCAATATCAAAAGAAATCAAAATAAAATAAATGTTGGAAGTTGTAGTCTTTTTATTTGACCAGCTTGGTTACCTTACATTGCGTATTGTATTTTCGCGTAAATAACCTATGCTAGAAGGCCCTGCTTTTACGCCAGTCATAAATAATTCCTTACCGATCACTGATCAGCTGTTATTTCACACCCTAGCAGTGCAAAATTTTATCGTGTATAATCAGTACAACGTTAATTGATGTAGGTGACATGAATACAGGCTATAGATCTTTAATAATATCTTGATTAACGATACCAAAGATTAACTGTGCATGTATGATCATCCAATAGGCAATAACTGTTAAACGAATGATGGAATTTTTTGCTACAAGCTGCCAACTGGCATTTTCTTATACTTTAGCACCTGATTTTGGCTTTATATATCAAAACATTCGAAAAATTTAATATTTTGTCTAATGAAGTACTACTATGTTAACTAAAATTGCAAAATTTCAAGTTTACTTACTATACAAAATTTCAAGTTTACGTACTAAATAAACTATACCATTAAAAAGATCGCAAAAAAAGTATATAAAAGATATTAAAGCGAGTAGTACTAGTGGTGCGAATTTTCCAATCGTTTTTGAATTAAAGGAGCTTACAGATGACAAAATAGTAACTTAATAGCCACAATTAGTGTACTTTCCATATCTTTGAGCGTTAAAAACTCAAAATCGGCTACGAAAATCACACTACTTGCTTACATCAGTTTTATATATACTTTTTCTATTTTGAAATTTTGCATTTTTGTCATCATATTACTGTTTATATATAGGCGATCCTCGGGAAGGAACGCGAGGGTCCGGGATAATCCGTTGCCGGAAGCCAGGAATCCTGGCTAAGATTGAACTGCGCATTCTACTTCAACGACCAATCAGATTCCTCCCTGAAATGGATTATCCCAGAGCCTCACGTTCCTTCCCGAGGATCGCAGGCTCGGGGAACGAGATTGATAGGTCATATAAGCAAAATTTTAAAATTTTCATCCATAAGCCAAAATCAGAGTCGCCAACATATCTACAGCTATAGTCTTGTTAATGCATATACTCTCTATGACTGTGAAAATGAAAGTTGGCAGCTTGTAACAGAAAATGCCATCAAACAAATTTTGTTGCACATTTTCAGGTTTTGGCCAGCAGATTTATACATCCAACATAGTCTTTCAAAACATGGTTTGGAAACTCCGCTAAAGTCTTTGTTCTATCTTCAGTATAACGAACGAATCATCCAATAGCAACGTTTCAGTTCAGTCATTCAACCATGCTATTTAAAGATTAATAAACTAAAACAAAGGATGTGCACGGTGTAAGCATGGATTGTAAAATAACTGGATAGGAAACTTCCTGACGTCATTGACCTCATCCTTATTGAAAAACGTGACGTCACGCGTATTGCGATTTGTGAATATTACCAAAGTTCTCGGCATTTTTGTTGTTTTGCCAGATTTTCCACTTTAAAAGGGTGATATTGAAGCATAAACTGGTCAATTGTTTTAAAAACATGCCTAAGTCACGACAAAGTATTCAAGGTAAATATTTTTCGTCTTTCTTTTGTATTTTTTTTTTTACATTTGTAGCTACGAAATTGCATGCGTCACAAATTTTAACGAAATTTGCGATGTACTTTTCACTGTTTAGTGCTTAGAATATTTGCTAAAATTGACTGGAAATACTTAGAGTTTCCATCGTAGAATGGCGTGGTTATATTTATTTGATCTTTGACTAAAATGTTTAGCTGTATTATTGCTAAACATGCCGTTTTTGAGAATTTGGTTTGCAACTAGGTTGGGACATCCAACCACGCCATCAGCCCATTGAAAACATTAGGTCACGAGCTAGTTTCCTATCCATTTATTTTATTATCCATAGTGTAAGGTACGGCTCAACATAAAATCCCAGCTCATTATAACAACTTTAAAGTTTACCGAGTTTCCAGACCATGTCTCGAAAGTATGTGTATCCAAACAATCGTCCAAAGTCAAAGATATTTTAGCTAATTCTACATGTTAGACTGCATGCTGTAATGTAAATCTACTTTTTTCGAGGGACTCGTTATTTATAAATAATGGCAAGGTGCAAGACCAAGTTTTACCAACACAAATGTTTAACTTAATGGTAAAAGAAAGTACTTGCTATCTTTTTTCAGAAAACGTTTAAGCATCGAGTCTGGAATAGCATAGAACATGTTTTGATGCAAAAAACGGTTCTCGTCTAAATCATGCCGCCCCAATGGACAAGGTGCTGGGTAGTTTTCTGTTGCCCACGAAAGAACAAGGCAGCGGTGGTTCTTAGGTACTGGAACTCCATGGATTGTGGGAAGGTCCACAACCTTTCCCATCCCAACAAACTTTCCTTTGTCCACTATGACTACAGCATCTAAGTGAAAACAAACAAAATACTAGAGGGCACTCAGAGACTGCATACCTCCGCCCGTTACTCGGAAGTGAAAGGCAACCTTGGAATTTCCTAAGAAATCCACTTTACAATTCTTAAGCATAAAAGATTTCAGGCCCCCGCGAATTGAAATCGAATTGCTAATAGAACATATTACAGTTGTTGTGCTGTACAGTACTTGTAAAATAAAAACTTATTAAGTGTCATTAAATAAATGCATAAATTTTACTTTATGCACTCGCGCGTGCAGTAATTTTCACAGTTGTGCTATTTTAAATTCCCAGGCAGCTAAAATCTTTTGTCTTTAAAACAATGTCGATTTCTTGGGAAATTCCGAGGTTGCGTTCTTTTTATACACCCTGTATTGAAGTAATCTTATGTTGTTAGAATTTGAATGGACTGGCACTTTGCTGAACGTAATAATGCTTAACTCCGTAAGCCTTGTTTTAGACATTGAATTTCGGTCGCGTGAAATGCAACTAAGACAATAGATGATGAAGGCCGAAGCTTAATGAGGTTTATCATCTCATTATTGTCTTAGCACTGAGTGCATAAATTATACACGTCCTAATTACGCATTCAGTAATATTTTTTGTTAATTGACCGGGAAAAGCAAGACAAAATTTTGTTCATTTCTCGTTCAATTTTTAACCAAATTCAACCAAATTTTAATTAGTTCTTCCTTAGCCGATGGGAAATGCATTCAAAAAATTTCGTACGGATATGTTTGGTATTTCTTGAGTTATCGTGCTCACAGACAAACACACACACATACACACACACACACACACACACACATACACACACACATACACACACACATACACACACACATACAAACCCAGATGATTACATAACCTCCTGGCGGAGGTAATAAGCATTACACGAAATATATATAGCTTGTCCTCAGCAAGTTCTCAAAATCAATCTTTAGAATCATGATCTTTACAATCATAAAACCCCGAACTTGCGGAAGCATATCTCATTTGATGCAGCATTTTTTTACAAAACAATACGTCTACCATACCTCATCCATATTTCCTAATATCTACATCATGTTTTTTTTGCGTTTTTGGCTCAACCCATGTTTGTGTTTTTTAATTTTGATGTATACAATATATTGAAAGGACAGCCTGGATTAAACTAGCTGTGGACATTATAATTAACAAAGCTTTAAAGGATAAAAATTGCACACAACCTGTTTGCTTTGGTAAGAACCAGAAATTCACAAATGAATCTACAATAAGTTACTAAAACTGGAACAGTAAATATTTGTTCTACGGATTTCCAAACATTGGACATGTTGTGTACGATAAAATGAAATAGTAATAAACTAATCTATATGGCTACGTTTTTTTTTCTTCAAATGCACCAAACAATTCCTGTTCAATCATGACTGCGCCATATATCTGCATTTATAGTGGTAAGATTGTATTTACCCTCTGGTGGATCTGGAAGCGCAGGTTGTTGAAAAGGAAGGGTACGTGCAGGCGTGCTTTCAGCAATTGCAGGTTTGGTCGTTATGGAGGATTGTACCACGGTGGATATTGACGACGATGAACATGGAGGGTTTGCAGAATTGATATGTTGAGGTGGATCCGAGGGTGAAGACGAAACTGTGGATTGAGGTACTTTGGCGGTTTGACTAGTTATGGAAAGTGGATTACATGATGAAGATGGAGGGTGAGTCGGACTGACACAGTGTTGAGGTGGGACCAATGGTAAAGAGGAGATTGTGGTTTCAGGTGCTTTGGGGACTTGACTAGTTACGGAAGGTGTTTTTGACGACGGATCGTCGTTATCTGAAGTGCCGTGTGTGCCAGTTTGTCCCACAATGGTCGTTGCTTCTGCTGCCATGCCAGTAGAATTATTTTCCTCTTTACTCAATTGCTCTAAAAATTCAAACTATTCATGAACAATATTCCAAATACATGTGCAAGATTTAAATATAATTTTTTTGTGTAAGTGGTTGTGTGCGTCAACAAAATCTTTTTACACAGTTTTATCGGCATTCCTGACCATGCATGGACGAAATCTAATTTGTCTATTTAGTAGTCGTTACTTTGCTGTAATCTGTTACCATATCAAAACGCTATTTATTAAAAAAACAACAACATACGTTTGGTGTAATTACGAAATACATCAAAAACAGCATTTCCAGTTGCTGTAGGGTTTTCTTCTGTGCCAATAAATTCCTCCCCAATTCCTGGAGTTCCATACGTCGTGAAGGTGTTGCCTCTTCCATGTTTATGGCAAACGAACACAACAATATGCCAATCGTGATGGTAGTTGAGAATTCTGGCCTGAATACAAAAAATAGAAGTTGTTTAGGGATGGCCGACATGTAGTCTGCCAATTAATACGCCATTTATGCGAAGCATAACTTTTCCTCTACATTGCCGTAACATCACTCCTTGAAGAGAAACACTTGGGAATTCCTATAGGCTGCATGGGAAGCAGTTAAGAAGTCTATGGGTTATTTGTGCTATAGCACGATACAAAAAGATTTATAAATTCAAAATGTGTTATAGATTCATGTGTCGCTGTTAATGAATGCTGACCATAATCCTTACCCTCATTCACACAAAACAGCGTGACATGAAGTTATATCCCATGGAACAAATTTGCAGGTTTTTTGTGGTTTGTCAAGTCACTACTTCGTGTAAGGAACACATAATAGTTTGAGGTATAATTAAAAGTAGGTTAAAAGATAAAACAGTCAGATGGTGTTAAAACTAGGGTTGGGTTAGACAATTCAAACAACGTGAAAAGCGTCTTTTTAAGTTGTAACTGTAAATTTACAATTATACAAAGAACTATATACAATACCAAAAAGTCGTATTTCCAGGCCTTAAAATATATTTTACAGTGTTGCGGTCGGACATATGTCCGATGTAGGGTTTGGGTCGGACATATGTCCGATGACCTTCAGTTCAGTTTTGGCTCGGAAATAAGTCTGAATGACACAAATGAATAAACGGTAAATGTTGTAAAGATATTAAATAATTTGTTTCTTTCATACTTATTTCCAAGCCAAAATTAACTTGCTTGCCAGAACAGCAGTATTAAAAAGGACTTCGACAACTTAAGCCCGTTTTCCACTTCACCACTTCGCTCGCCGCCCCGCGCTGGACTACGTTAAAACAACATTTCCAGTTCACCTTTTATACAATAGTACTCTGATTTCCCATTTAACATACAAGCCTCTAGTCCTGGGCTAGGGTACATTTTGATTTACATGTCGGACAAAAGCTACAGTTCGGTCGGACACCAATACACTCAGGTCGGGCAAACAATAAACCTCAGTTTCACTTATAGGTCGGACAGAATGTCCGGTGGTTTCCTCTCTACGTCGGACAATTTCACGAATGGGTCGGACAATGACCGTGACCGACCGATACTTTAAGGCCTGATTTCGTGGTGCGGAGAATCTCAAACGCAGGAGAGATAGTACCCCGTGAAAAAGGCTAATTGCCTACTGTGAGTTGAATAGCACCTCGTTTTAAAGACACACTACAGTATACCAGATTAACTGTCATATCTTGACCTGCCTTTACTTTTGAATTATGCTTGCTTACTGTTGGTTGGAGACAAGGTGATTCACCTAAATTTAGCAATTTCCCGTGCTTGAAAACTCCTGTGCTTCGAAGCTTCTTCCGCTTGTTCGGTTTTACCCCTTACTTAAAGTGGCACTCGCGTCAAAATGTTTATTTTCTTCAACGAAAATGCTCTTAAAACTGTATAGTAACTTGTTTGGAAGATTTTTGTTTTCTTAGTTTTGGATATTTCATTTTGTTTGTAACCATGTGACGCCATTGACTCAATTACATATATAGTGAGATATCAGTAATTGTTGTGTAAATCTTTGCTATATTTTTATCAAAATATTTGCAAAGATGCCGCACGTTAGTTGATTTAACCTAGATCATTAAGCATACTGTTTTTTAAACAAATTCATAAAAAATAGCAAAGATACACAACAATTACTGATATCTCCTTATATATGTAATTGAGTCACACATGGTTACAAACAAAATGAAATATCTAAGCATGGGAACAAAAATCTTCAAAACAAGTTACTATACAGTTTTAAAAGAAAAGAAAATAAAAATTTTGACGCGAGTGCCACTTTAAATATAATGTTTACAGTAGGGCCGTACCGGGGGGGGGGCAAGGGGGCAAGGGGGCAACTACCCCCCCAGAGAAAACCATATTTACGATTTTTAGAATGTCATTATTAATTATACTTCGGATATTTGGGACTTTTTTCGGCATATAGGCCTTACTGCCCCTGGTGAAACAATCCTGCGTACAGCCCTGAATGTTTAGACACTAATTATAAAATTAACTAACTGCAACAGTTAGGGCTTTCCATCCTTCTGAGAGTGGTAAATGTATCAACCTAATTCAATTATCTTATGTCATTATGTTTCCAATCAACTTAATATCTTGATGGACTACATTAGCAAACCCTAGCTAGAAACCTAAATTTTACTTTCTATTAAATGATTGGAGTGAGCTCAGTAATATTGAAACAAAATGGCAGTAATTCCAACATCTTGTCAAAATCTTGTCAATATATTTTGACAGACTTACAGAAATATTAATTAGGGGTGCACCGGATTTGGAATTTTCAAATCCGGCCGGAACCGGATTTACCGGATTTGGACAAAAATTCCGGCCGGAATTCCGGCCGGATTTGCCGGATTTAAAATAAACCGGTAATGGGGACAATTGTGGATAAATCAGTATTCAAAATGGCGGTTTATGTTTTTTACTATTTTTAGTTAGTGTCAGTTTAGATTTTTGATTGTGTTTATTAAACCTTTTTTAAATATTTTTTGTTAATAACTTAATATTTTATAATAATATAAGTGTTTTTTAAACTCTAAAGCTGCCAAATTGATGGTTTATCCCATTCTTGGTGAATTTTTAAGGTGAAAACAGAAATTTAAATCCGGCCGGATTTTCTCCAAATCCGGCCGGATACCGGATGCCGGAAAATTCGTTAAATCCGGCCGGAATTCCGGCCGGATTTGAAATCCGGTGCACCCCTAATATTAATGATCAGCTGTATCAAACAATACAAGTTCATAATTTCCAGTCTTCGATGAGTCCAGACCATGTAGCTCAGTTACTAGAGCATCAATCTAGTAATTCTAGTAATTCATCAATCTAGTAATTCTAAGGCTGTGCAGGTTCGAAACAGTGGCAGGCAAAGTTTTCTGCCTTCACGGTCTGCAAATTATGAAATATCTCACTCAAGAACATTTTCTCCTTATCATATTACCAAGTGAACAACAGGCCTTAAAATATCGGTCGGTCACGGACATTGTCCGACCCATTCGTGAAATTGTCCGACGTAGAGAGGAAACCACCGGACATTCTGTCCGACCTAGGTGAAACTGAGGTTTATTGTTCGTCCGACCCGAGTGTATTGGTGTCCGACCGAACTGTAGCTTTGTCCGACGTAAATCAAAATGTACCCTAGCCCAGGACTAGAGGCTTGTGTGTTAAATGGAAAATCAGAGTACTATTGTATAAAATAAATGTCAACTGGAAATGTCAACTGGAAGTGTTAAATAAGGTCAACTGTTAAAATCAGAGTACTATTGTGAAAAACTGTGAAAATCAGAGTACTATTGTATAAAATAAATGTCAACTGGAAATGTCAACTGGAAGTGTTAAATAAGGTCAACTGTTAAAATCAGAGTACTATTGTGAAAAACTGTGAAAATCAGAGTACTATTGTATAAAATAAATGTCAACTGGAAATGTCAACTGGAAATGTTAAATAAGGTCAAAATAAGGTCAACTGGAAATGTTGTTTTAACGTAGTCGAGCACGGGGCGGCGAGCGAAATGGTGAAGTGGAAAACGGGCTTAAGTTGTCGAAGTCTTTTTGATACTGCTGTTCTGGAAAGCAAGTTAATTTTGGCTTGGAAATAAGTATGAAAGAAACAAATTATTTAATATTTTTACAACATTTACCATTTATTCATTTGTGTCATTCAGACTTATTTCCGAGTCAAAAATGAACTGAAGGTCATCGGACATATGTCCGACCCAAACTCAACGTCACCGGACATTTTGTCAGACGGCCCTGGAAAAGATATTTTAAGGCCTGAACAATAACACAATGTAATATATATATCCCAATTAACATTTTTATGAGAACCTGCATATCTAGAGTTAGTTTAATCCTGGATTAAAGATAAATGTCAAAGCAAACTTTTAACAGAAACAGCATATGTACAGAGTAAAGTCAGTAAAATAATAAAGTAGGCCACACCTTAATGTAAGTAATGCAACTTAATCATGGGTAGAACACCGGTAGACCCTAATGAACACATAAAAATGAGTCAAATTTGGTCTATCATAAGAAAGGAAGTTTTTCTGTAAAATTGATTGAAACAGTGATAAGGCATTCAAGCACCCTTTTAATGTAATATTTAAAAAGAACTTTGTAGTAATGCCATGAAGCACAAAATTGGATGAGTATATACAGTCATAATGACACATACTTTGACTTTGGGGGATGGAGGGGGCTTTCTATTAAACCCGTAACATTTCATGGGGGGTATATAATATGGACCGCTGCTCCTCTCCTAAACCTTTTCCACCTCCCCAACAATTCCACCAAAATCCAGCCTTGGTTAAAATAAAGCCTGTCAAGGTACAAGCCCTATACATTTTGGATAACTGTTATGCAAATAGACAGGAAACTGTGGGATTTTAGCTGCCAAATTTTATATATATATATATATATATATATATATATATATATATATATATATATATATATATATATATATATATATATATATATATATATATATATATATATATTTATATATATGGGAAGGTAGTATGACTGATACCATAATATACATTCCACATTTTTCAGGGCATTAGGGGCCGCGTCCATATTCATGTTGCCACAAATAACCAGGGCCGTAGCTAAATGCAATAATTGAGGAGTGAGGTGGTGGTGTATATTCATATATTCATGTTCACATACTGTAAAATCAAAAACTTCCAAAAAAAAACCTGTCGGGCAAAACACAAATATGCACCCCCCCTCCAATTATCGGTCTAGCTACAGCCCTGCAAACTCAAAATTGACATTATGAGTGGGTGGGTTTTTATGTGAACTTGTCGACGCTATCACAGTACAGCTTTAGTATTGTGAAGTCAAAATACGACTGAATATGGACGTGGCCCCTTACAATTACACTATATTCACCTACATCTTGAATACCGGTACATAAATGCTTACACTAGAAGTAAAACCAACATTTGAAATATCTATAAATGTATTCATACTGCTAGTACATTTTTCATAAATTAATACTGTATTTAAAAATACCGTGACAGTGCCGCAGTGAATAGATAGTGAATTCTTCTTACCAGTTTTGTCAGCATACCAAATTGTTTTGATGGGTTTGTCATTCCCATTTTCGCAATTTGCTCCATCTCTTCTTTCCTTTTACAAGGACGACATTGTTTTTTGCCTCTTGGGCCACTTACACCATTGCACGATAAGCACCGCTTCAATCGTTGATTAGTCTATCAAAATCACACAGAATTTAAATGGAAAATTAGTCTATACACGGGATAAATACTCTGGGATAAATACATACAGAACACTGTATTTATAAATATTCAAATTTATGCAAATTTTAAGGACAACAGTAGAGCTTCATCAGCACAAATTAAATTTCTCTTTCTGTCTAATACCTTCGGAGTATCAATATTTGATTCAGCAGCTTCATTTTCATTCAAATTAATCGAATATCCATCGCTATTAATCGAGTCAAAAGAAAAGGATCCTACTTCTTCCGCCATATTTTTTGCGCGAAATGTGCTCACTGCTCATCCTGATAAATTTATGTGTCCTGGGTACTAGAGCTAATAAATCGCTTGGGAATACCAACTACAATCTCGTTCCCCGAGCCTGCGATCCTTGGGAAGGAAACGAAGGTTTCCTTCCCAAGGATCGCAGGCTCGGGGAACGAGATTGTACCAACTATTGTAACGATGGTCCCAACAGGTAGGCAATTTGTCTGAGCATGCGCACAGAAAATCAATATGGCGACATATATCAGGAGTGTTTCGAGGATTTATCTGGTTTTAAAGCTAATAAAACAACATTTTAATGAACGAAAACTTTGTAATATTTCGTGGAAAACATTAAGCTGTGCATTCCAGAGGTTTTAAATAAAAAATAAGTACTTTTGCTTTATTTTATTGCTTTTTATGCTTTGAAAACAGGCAAGCTCATATTTTTTGAAAAAAATTTATCTAATATTTTACTCATTATTTGTTTAATCTGAACAAAAATAGATAGAACACTTGGCTATATAAGTTATAAAGGTATTGTTAGCTGATCTGAAAGATTTCAGTATTCCAGGTACACATTTTAACAAAGAATAAAATTAAAATATATGCATATCAAAAACAATGGTTTTATTAGAACAACACAGAATAAGTTGTTATTTTCTATTTTTACAAAAAACAAGTTTGAAAACAGGATCTAGTCCTCCAGCTTGATGTCATATTCCATTTATTTGGATATTTGAATAAAGGAATGTGAAATAATAATTGAAACTTGACCAAAATTTGATACCAACACTGGAGTGAATAGATACTATCACCTAAAAATAAAAGAAAACAGAACTTAAATTTATCATATAATGCTATGAAAAAATCTTAGATATTACACGCATATAGTGAACACAACTCTTTAACAAATTCACTAAAATAAGTTAAGTTATGCTACGATAAGAGGATGGCAATATATGACATCAAATGTTACCATCTTCAGTGTCCAAAAAAAGTGCCGCGCGCATTTTTCGTGTTCGCATAACTGGCATTGCCAACACCGCGGAAAAACGTCTGCGCATGCACCAAATTATGAAAATATGGCGGGGAATTTGAATATCAATTTCTAAAACAACAAGAAAATATTTCTTTAAAAAAGAAATAATGTTTCGTTCCAATATAATTATAGAAATACCAGACGTCTGTAATTAGCGGTTGTGACCATAGATCACTTGTATATGTCGAGCAATGAAATTGGTTCATTTTGTGAGGCGGGCGGGTTCTATAAATTTTCATTACCCAGAGGGGCCGAGCGGTCCAGAAATACAGTTGTAATATTTAAAATGAAGAAAAACAAAGAAAACTATATAATAAATATATACCGCTGTTGGCGCTTGAATACTTCAAATATAAATCATCGTGCCTGTAGATTTTGACCTGAAGTTCAGGCCCTAAGATTTTGATTGGTTGCAAGTTCACATAAACAACAGTTTTAAAAATAGCTCGGTGAAGGGCTCAAGGGGACAATAATAATATAAAGGTCAAATGCACGTAACAAATCCATTATCGATTTCTTCGAATTTCTTCTCTTTTATGCTTTATGGCAGAAAATAAATCAAACAAATAGTATTTTGAAGGTCTTTATCAAGATCTTTGACGAATTTTGGACACACGACGCTGAAAGAACAGCCAAACTAGTCATCTATTCGAAAGTTTGTTGTTGACAGCCAAGATGTTCTGCCAACTGGCTTCGCCGGCAAAAGTCTTATTTTTAATATCAGGTCCTACCGGCGTTGTTTTCTGAGCTACATCGCCTTCTTCGTGGTACGATTGAGAATTTTATTGTTGCTGTTGTTAGCCCGTTAAAGTATATCCTTGGTATATATCCGCGTCCAGCAAGATGAGACCTTGAGAAAGCTTGGCGTCAAGCTGTACACAGAACTGACTAATTGAATCTTCGTTTGCTGTTCGGTTAAATAGAGAAACTGACTCTTAATTATATAAAAGTACCTTGAATTTTTAAGTTTAATTAAAAAGCAAAATGCACACTCTGCGGACATGTTCATGAGAATATAATTTTTTTGTAATCTATAACACTTGTCAATCATATTGCATGCTGTGTCTAAAAATAACATGTGAGCGTCCCACGGTCTAGACAGGTTTTGTATCAGGCCCTATTTAAAATTAGGGCCTGAACTTCAGGTTAAGTTAGCATGTTCTCATAGGTTGATATATAATTAACTAAGATTTCCGAATTATACGCCACGCCTCCAAAAAACTTCTTATGCTAGGAGCGGTCATCTCATTGGACGATTCTAAATGTAATTGACGTTTGAGCAAGAATACTGGCAAAGGATTGGATAACTTTGATCTCTGACGTCACTTTCCTGTGATAATTGCTCGAAACCAAATACAGTACCGTTTCGTTCCTGCGGGGAACGAAACAAAAACATGCTTATTAATTGGTCAAAAATTAGTCAAACAAACGAGAAAATATAGCAAATGGGTAGACTAGACATTAATTGAAAGCGTCCTGGCATTTAAAGTATGGAATGAAATGTAATTCATGTAAAAAATTGTTGATTTTAACGGACACGACTTCGAAAATTTTTGCAAAATTATTCAAAACAAAAATTCAAACTCAAAAGTTAAGAAAACTCTCGAAAAGTTAAGCTTCTTAACCCACTCAAATTGTAGAATAAATCCTAAAGTTTAATTATTGTGAACACGAAAATTTTTTATGTTTGGCGACACAGTTTTTTTTAAAGAAATGTATCTCAAACGAAAATTCGGAAATTGTCGTTGCTTAGTTGATAAACAAAATGTTTCAGACGATAAATTTGTCAACAATCATCTTTAGTTCATGTTCTTGTACAATACAATTTCTTGAACCTTCTGGCTGTATTTATTCCTAGTTTTTAGAATGACATGTTTATTTTTGCACTCGAAATGTGGCTGTAAAGACGCACAATGAAGTCACTCCTTTTTACCGCCATTTTGAGCCTTCGGAAACGTTCGGAACAGCTTCTCATCAAGTTCGCAATACTATTACAGGTAAGGTTGACGCATGCGCAGACGTTTTTCCGCGGTGTTGGCATTGCCACAAACCCAGGTGAGAGAGCAATTAGAAAAACCTGGTTTTGGGTGATGAGCATAGTCAAATTCTTGACTTATTCAATTTTCTAAGTTTTTTCAGGTAAACAGATCCAACATTGAAATAAGCCCTATTCGGGACCTCATAGGATCCAAAATATTGTGTATGGACCAGATTTTTTTCAATTTTCTGTGATTTACATAACACTAGTTATAATTTAAGGCTCAACCAGTATTGTTCAAGACATATTTCCTTCCAGAACACCTTTTCAAAATACTAAGGGGCCATTCACAAAGGATGTCCGGCCAAATGATGGATTTTCAGACCCCCCTCCCCCCCTTGTCCGGCATTGTCCGAATTAGTAAACCCCCCTCCCACCGGACATCCGCCATGCCTCGCAAAAACTCACGCAACCTTTGTATATATCAAGAGTAAAAAACTTTTTTTACTTTTAGAACTTTTTTATAACTGTAAATGTGAACACAAAAACATATAAATTACTAATTAAAACAAAATCTAGTGTTAACCGCATACTCAAAATGCCAATTTCACAA